TGTAGTATAATCTGAAGTCAGGAAGGTGGATTCCTCCAGCTCCATTACTCTTTCTCAAGACTGCTTTGGCTGTTTGGGGTCTTCTGTGTTCCATATGATTTGTGAAGTTTTTTGTTCTAGTTCTGTGAAAAATGCCATTGGTAATTTGATAGAGATCACATTGAATCTGTAGATGGCGTTTGGCACTATAGTCATTTTCACAATACTGATTCTTCCTACCCAGGAACATGGACTATCTCTCCATCTGTGTATGTCATCTTTGACTTCTTTCATCAGTGTCTTATAATTTTCTGTGTACAGTTCTTTTGTCTCCTTAGGTAAGTGTATTCCTAGATATTTAATTCTTTTTGTTGGAATGGTGGATGGGATTGATTCCTTAATTTCTCTTTCTGATTTTTCACTATTAGTATATAGAAATGCAAATGATTTCTGCATATTGATATCTATCCTGAAACTTTGCTAAATTTGCTGATTAGCTCTAGTAATTTTCTGATACTATCTTTAGGGTTTTCTAGGTACAGTATCATGTCATCTGCAAACAGTGAGAGCTTTACTTCTTTTTTGACCTGGATTCTTTTTCTTTCTTTTTCTTCTCTGATTGCTGTAGCTAGGGCTTCCAGAACTATGTTGAATAATAGTGGGAGATTGACAGCAGGCACAGAGTGAGGGCAGTTCTGAAATCCCACTGAGCAAGCATTTTAGGGGAACCCCCCACCTTGGGTTGGAGAATGTTAATTAATTATTCTCATCTTTCACCCTTAAATAACCCCTTTGTTTATTAAAAGGTATCTTTTCTCTGTGAGGCTCCAGTTGGACTCTAGCCTGCTTCGTCTCTATACCTTCACACTTTGTGTCCTAAGTGAAGGGCTTCCCTGGTAGCTCAGTGTCAAAGAATCAGCCCACCAATTCAGGAGACTCGGGTTCAATCTATGCGTCCCGAAGATCTCTTGGAGAAGGGCATGGCAACCCACTCCAGTATTCCTGCCTGCAGAATCCCATGGACAGAGGAGCCTGGTGGGCTACAGTCCATGGGGTCTCAGAGTCAGACACGACTGAGCAACTAACACACACGCACACATATTCACGCCAACTGAGGCTTTAGTATCAGATTGGTGATTGTATCCTTGACTTGTCCCTTACCAAGACTGAATTTTGGTCATCTGCTCTTCCTTCAGAGGCGTTCTCTGTTTTAGTTTTAGCTGTTAGGGTTGAGAACTTAGTTGCTTCTTCCAACCTTTTAGGTCTCTGAATGAACTTTATTTTCTTATATTCCTGCCTGTAAGCCAACCAATTCCTTTCTGATATCATTTCTTTCTTGAATCAGTTTCTTTTTTTATCTTATTCCGTTTTTTTAAAATCTCATCCCTTGTCTTTTCATCTTTTCCTGTTGCTTTTCCGTTTAATCTTGTTTTTTCTTTTTACCAGATTTAAAGACCATGTCTCCTTATACTGTTTTGAGGATGCCAAACTTCTTCCAGACTTTTCTTATTGCTCCATCATTATGTCCAGCAAGCTCTGTCTTTGCAGATTTTACAGGCTCTTCCTTTCCCTTTACTGAGATATTTTCTTTTTCATACAGCTTGTGTTTTTCTTCTCTCTCTCTCTCTATATATATATATATATTTTATTTTAGAAAGTGAAACCTGCCAGATATGTTTCCAACAAATGACTCCTTTACCACCTACTCTGATCTACAATTCAGGGCAGGTTGACCTACACAGATACCCAAGCAAATCTCAGTTTCCAGAAGGCTTTTGATCAGATAAAATCTTGACTCACCCTCCCTGCTTGATGTTCTGGTTTTGTTGTTTAGTCGCTCAGTCTTTGCGACCCCATGGAATGCAGCACACCAGACTTCCCTGTCCTTCACTGTCTCCCTGAGTTTGCTCAAACTCATGTCCTTTGAGTCGATGATACCATCCAACCATCTTGTCCTTTGTCATCTTCTTCTCCTTCTGCCTTCAGTCTTTCCCAGCATCAGGGTCTTTTCCAGTGAGTCAGTTCTTCGCATCAGGTGGCCCAAGTATTGGAGCTTCAGCTTCAGCATCAGTCCTTCCAATGAATATTCAGGACTAATTTCCTTTAGTATTGACTGGTATGATCTCCTTGCAGTTCAATGGGGTTCTCAAGAGTCTTCTCCAGCACCACAGTTCAAAAGTATCAATTCTATGGCACTCATCCTTCTTGATGTTCCAACTCTTATATCCATACATGACTACTGGAAAAACCATAGCTTTAACTAGACAGAACTTTGTCAGTAAAGTAATGTCTCTGCTTTTTAATACATTGTCTAGGTTGGTCATAGCTTCTCTTCCAAGGAGCAGGTGTCTTGTAATTTCATGGCTTCAGTCATCATCTGCAGTGATTTTGGAGCCCCCAAAAATAAAGTCTGTCACTGTTTCCCCATCTGTTTACCACAAAGTGATGGGATCACGTTGCTATGATCTTCATTTTTTGAATGTTGAATTTTAAGCCAGCTTTTTTACTCTCCTCTTTCATCTTCACTGAGAGGCTCTTTAGTTCTTCGCTTTCTGCCAGAAGGGTGATGTCATCTGTATATCTGAAGTTATTGATATTTCTTCTGACAATCTTGATTCTAGCTTGTGCTTCATCCAACCTGGCATTTCTCATGATGTACTCTGCATGTAAGTTAAGAGCAGGGTGACAATATACAGCCTCAATATAATCTTTTTGCAGTTTTGAACCAGTCCATTGTTCCATGTCGGGTTCTAACGTTGCTTCTTGTCCTGCATACAGGTTTCTCAGGAGGCAGGTAAGCTGTTCTGGTATTCCCATCTCTTGAAGAATTTTCCCCAGTTTGTTGTGATCCAAACAGTCAAAGGTTTTAGTGTAATCAATGAAGCAGAAGTAAATGTTTCTCTGAAATTCCCTTGCTTTTTCTATAATCCAGAGGATATTGGCAATTTAATCACTGGTTCCTCTGCCTTTTCTAAATCCAGCTTGTACATCTGGAGGTTCTCAGTTCATGTACTGTTGAAGCCTGGCTTGGAGTATGTTGAGCATGGTCTTGCTAGCCCGTGATATGAGTGCATTTGTACAGCAGTTTGAACGTTCTTTGGCATTGCCCTTCTTTGAGATTGGAATGAAAACTGACCTTTTCCAGTCCTGTGGCCACTGCTGAGTTTTCCAAATTTGCTGGCATATTGAGTGCAGCACTTTCACAGCATCATCTTTGAGGGTTTGAAATAGCTCAACTGGAATTCCATCACCTCCACTAGCTTTGTTCATAGTGATGCTTCCTAAGGCCCACTTGACTTTGCACTCTTGGATGCCTGGCTCTAGGTGAGTGGGCACAGCATCATGGTTAGCCAGGTCATTAAGATCTTTTTTCTCTAGTTCTTCTGTGTGTTCTTGCCACGTCTTCTTAATATCTTCTGCTTGTGTTAGGTCCATTCTGTCCTTTATTGTGGCCATCTTTGGATGACATGTTCCCTTGGTATCTTTCTTGAAGAGCTCTCTATTCTTTCCCATTGTTTTCCTCTATTGTTTTCATTATATAGTTTTCCTCTGTTTCTTTGCTTTGTTCACTTAGGAAGGCTTCCTTATCTCTCCTTGCTGTTCTTTGCAACTCTGCATTCAGTAGGTATATTTTTCCTTTTTCTCCTTTACCTTCTGCCTCTCCTCTTTTCTCAGCTATTTGTAAGGCCTCCTCAGACAACCATTTTGCATTTTTGCATTTCTTTTTTGGGGTAGGTTTTGATCACTGTCTCCTGCACAGTGTTATGAACCTCGTTTAGTTCTTCAGGCACTCTGTCAGATCTAATCCCTTGAAACCATTTGTCACTTCCACTGTATAATCATAAGAGATTTGGTTTAGGTCATACCTGAATGGCCTAGTGGTTTTCCCTACTTTCTTCAATTTAGTTCTGAATTTGGCAATAAGGAGCTCATGATCTGAGCCACAGTTAGCTCCTGGTCTTGTTTTTGCTGTTTGTATAGAGCTTCTCCATTTTTGGCTGCAAAGAATATAATCAATCTGATTTCCGTATTGACCATCGGTGATGTTCATGTGTAGAGTCGTCTCTTGTGTTATTGGAAGAGAGTGTTTGCTTTGACCAGTTCATTCTCTTGGCAAAACTCTGTTAGCCTTTGCCCTACTTCATTTTGTACTCTAAGCCACACTTGCCTGTTACACCAGGCAAGTTTGGCCTTGGATATTCTGACATGGGCAGAATATATGAAACTGAAATGTGGGGCACTTGATGCCACCAGGAATTCTGCTTTGCTGTCTCTTGTATCGCTTTGCTCAGAATGGTATGTGTTCTCCCAAATTCCCTTTAGCTTCCTTCCCAGTTGTTTTCTAGGAGTTGTTGCCCTGCCCAAATATATAAAGCTGAATGTACACAGATGGAAGGACCAAGAGGAGAGAGGGGGAGTGTGTGTGTGTGTGTGTGTAGGGGGCAGTGCACAACAGTCTCACCAGTACAGATATTTGCACTGACAGGGATTTAAATGTGGCTGCAGTTTTGCAGTGAATACAGCCCTTGGGTGTCTGAATCAGATAACCAACTCTGGAGGGTGTATGTAGTGCCTGCTTTTCTTAGGTGGCCTCAGTTTCATGAGGCATGATAAGAAATCTGGAGAGGTGTTTTTGTGTTGCTTTTTTTTCCTTTCCTCAGTCCAGTGTCCAGTTAATGGTTAGTGGGATCCTTTCAGACTTGGTATTATCTGTTAATTTTAGTTTTACTTGTAGTGATTTCTTGGATTATTTCCTACACGTTCAGAAGTTGAGAGAGGTTGCAGGATTCAAGGCACACAGGGTTTCAAACTGGAAGTCCATGCACCCAATATTCTGCTTTGTCTTCTGATACTTCTGTTACTTAAAGAGGGCTTGTGTTCTTAAGTTTGGGGGTCGAATTCCTAAAAGTCCTTATTGTGATCTCTTTACATTTGGCTTTTTACTAAGAAGGGTGAGAGTTTCATCTGAATTTGACATTATATGGTGTTTGCTTCTATTTCAGGTAACAGCAGAAGCAGCAATGTTTCACTTCTTCAGAAAGCCTCCAGAATCTAAAAAGCCGTCGGTACCAGAGACAGAAGCAGATGGCTTTGTCCTTTTAGGTGAGTGTTTTTAGGATTTTGTTGTTGTTGTTAGTGGCTAAGTCATGTCTGACTCTTTGCGACCCCGTGGACTGTAGCCCACCAGTCTCCTCTGTCCATGGGATTCTTCAGGCAAGAATACTGGAGTGGGTTGCCATTCCTTTCTCCTGGGGATCTTCCTGACCCAGGGATCAAAGCCGCATTATTAGATGAATGATTTTTGCTTTAAAAGATTACTTGAAAAGTTATATGATTGATTTTTAAATATTTTTCTAATTCCAGAATTAGTTGATGTATATAAAATCTATAAAAATATGGATCATTAATCACTTGAAATATTGTCGTCAAGTGAGACTTTTCTTGTATATCAGTTTGGGTGTGTCCTTCAGGTTCAATTTATAAAATCATCCCATTTTTTCTATCCAGTAAGTGAGTCAACCTTTTTAATTACGAAAAGCCAGAAGTCTTGAAGAATTCTTGATAAATTCAAATTCTGTTTGAAGAAGCAGGGCTTAGTGCTGCTTATAAATTAGCTTCTGAAATTAAATTAGGCATCCAGTAAATAGTTGCTGAATGAGGTACATTTATTTTTTTATTTAAGTAGAGTTGATTTACAATATTATATTAACTTTCAAGGGTACAACATAGTGATTGAATAGTTTCACAGATTTAGTGCCAATAAATATTACTATAAGATAATAACTATTATAACATAATGGCTATGATTGTGCTGTACAGTATATCATTGTTGCTTATCTTTTTTTTATATATAGTAGCTTATATCTCTTAATCCCATATCCCTAATTTGCCCTTCCCTCTCCCTTTTGGTAACTAGTTTTTTTCTGTATCTGTGAGTTTTTCCTATTTTGCAGATGCTTCATTTGTATTATTTTTGTGACCCCGCATTTAAGTAATGTCATACAGTATTTGTCTTTCTGCGACTTATTTCACTAAACATATTGCTCTCCGGGTCCATCCACGTCGTTGCAAATAGCAGAATTTCACTCTTTTTTATGGCTTTTTATTCTTTTTTTTCTGTGTGTGTGTGTGCATTGCATCTTCTTAATCCAGTTGTGTGTTGATAAGTACTTGGGTTTCTCTGTCTTGGCTATTATAGATGGTGTTCCTGTGAGCTTTAGGGTACATGTATCTTTTTGAATTAGTGTTTTCATTTTTTCCAGCTACATACCCAAGAGTGGGATTGCTGGATCATATGGTAGCTCATTTTTAGTGTTTTAAGGAACCTCCATACTATTCTGCATAGTGGCTACACCAGTTTCCATTCCTATTAAGAGTTTTGAAGTACACTTTAAAATCTAAATATGTTAAATAGTGTCTCCTAAATCTTAAGACTAGTTTATTTTCTACTATAAAATTAATACCTGCTAGTTGTTAAGATTTTAGTGGCTTTAAAAAATATTCCTTTCAACCAGATATTATGCTTTTCCCAAGGGGAATTCTGAAAAATGACATTTCCTTCATATCATTTGCCAGTCCCAAAGAAGAGGTTGTCTGTCTTTGGATAGTTCTTCCCAGCAGCTGTCTTCTCATAGGGCGTTGAAGTCAAGTCGCTCGGTCGTGTCTGACTCTTGGTGACCCCATGGACTGTATAGCCTACCAGGCTCTTCAGTCCATGGAATTTTCCAGGCAAGAGTACTGGAGTGGGCTGCCATTTCCTTCTCCAGGGGACCTTCCCAACCCAGGGATCGAACCCGGGTCTCCCGCACTGCAGGCAGACGCTTTACCGTCTGAGCCACCAGGGCGTTGAGGAGGAACTATAACCCAGTGTCCGCTTGTGATACCCGTCCTCGTCTACCTGGATGACCTGCCAAATTCAGCTCCTTATCTGAGAGGATTTGCATGAACTCACAGTGTTTGCTCTTGACAGTGTTTCTCAGGGTCTCCCTTTGTAGATTCTGTTCACTACCTTTTCTCTTTATATCTTGTCTAGTCAGTCCGAGGTCCCCTGGCATTGGCAGAGGCTGTGTGTCTTGACAACTAGAAGATGGCTTTTTGGGTTTGCAGGTTGTGTTGAACCTTGAGGCTAGGCCTTCTAAGAGCCAGGCTCACACCACGCCTCTGACCCCACATGTTCAGAATGGGTGGGTGGATCTCTGCCTCTTCAGCACTTCTCTTCTGCATCTGGTCTCTTGCAGTAAGGACATAAGGACTCGGGGGTTTTACCCCTCTGGCCCTCTTCTACTTCTTGGCCTTAATCTCTGGGAGACCAGAGGAGAGTTTTCCTTGTAGTTAAATGTTACCATAAAATTACCCTATCTTTCCCACAGTCATGTTCTGGTAGGCCTGTGGGTTTCCCGGATCTGCTTCCTGGGGCCTGGAACAGGGGCCATAGCTAAGAGTGGTGAGAGCTGTTTTCTCTCTGACCACATCTGCTACGTCTGAGGCAAAAGTAGTGGGGCATAATCTGACCAGGGTTGGTGGTTTTTCTGGGGAGCCTCCTGACTGGGATAAAGTGGGGTGCCGCCAACCCAGCTGCTTCTCTGGCCCTTCTTACAGTGTCAGGAAATTGTGCTTTGGCTTCCAAGACAGAACCGGCTCTGTCATCCCCCCACTTCTGTTTCTAATGCTGCCGGCATTGCTTCCCTTTTACCTGCCGAATTAGCCCAACTAACAGAAGAAACTTCAGGGGTGCATCTGTTCTCCTGTGATGTTTCTGCCTCTTGAGGAGTTTCACAATAAATTCTTCTTTCAGAAATTTGCTCTAGCAAAGCCTGATTCTTGTATTTTTTTGTATTCTTGTATTTCTTGTTTTAGAACACCTCTGTAGCCTGGAGAAAGGCATGCAACCCACTCTAGCATTCTTGCCTGGAGAACCCCCATGGACAGAGGTGCCTGGGGGGCTACAGTCTGTGGGGTCCCATGGAGCGACACAACTAAAGTGACTTAGCACACAGCCTTAATGCACATGCAGACAGCTGTGTTTTTCTGTTGTCTCATGATTAGAGTTAGTGCACTGGCGTGTCTGCGAGCACACACAGCCTCTCCAGCTGTGCTTGGAGAACTCTTGATCCGTCTTGCCTTCCTCTGTGGCCGCCACTTGCAGCATTGCAGAGACAAGTTTTAACCACAGCTGCAAAAGCTGCTCGGGCTGCTGTTTCTAAAATCTCCTCCAGTGTCTGGTAGCTTGTAGCGTGAAATATTTCACTGCCTGTCTTATAACTAGCCCAGCAGGGGCCCTGTTTCCAAGGTGTTCTGCCCCAACTGGTGAAGCTTCTGTTGTGGACCCTGCCTTTCTAAGAAAGAGTAGTTTAAGTAGTGGTCTTTAACTGAGGCTCAGAAGACAGAAATGCCCAGATTTGCTAATTCTTGAGGGAATCTGCAGCCATTACTTCCTCAAGTATGGTCTCACATATCAGCTGCTCCGTCTGATACGTCTCAGCTCTGATGGTGCCTTTTCCCATAAGCTGACACGCTGCATGTTGAGGGTTTTCACAGGGCCATTGTGGGCTGAGTGGGATTGGTGTCAGCTCCTGCACCATGTGTCCTGCGGTTGAACAGTCACAGTGAGGCATCACTTCTGCCCCAGGCTCAGGACTGCAATTTAATTTCAGGTGCGGCGGGTACCACACCCTTGTTCCAATGATCCAAGCAAGAGCAGACCCCCGCATGTTGACTGAGGCCTCCTGGTCCTTCAGCTGCCGTGCCTACTGAGGCTTATCTCGGTTTAGTGCCATTGTTTCCCCAGGTGTAAAGCTCCAACCCCTCCACCATTTTCCATGAAGAATCCTTGGGTTACTACTGTTCTGTGATTTTTTTTCCTCCTAGAATCTTCCAGAAAGTTTTTTGTTTGTTTGTTTTGTTTTTATCTCCTGCTTTCAGGAAGAAAAGGAGACGACAGAGTGCCCTTCTTGCACCTGATGTTTTTTTAAGTTTAGCTCAGAATAATCTTTATGCCAAAGTGGTATATTTTGGGTTGGTATATCTGCCACCCTTCACCATTTGGGGAAGTTACAAAACCTCCCAGGTATCATTTAGCTTATTTAGAAAATGAGCATGATAACAATAGGGTTATTGAGGGGATTAAGTGAGTTAATGTGTGTACTATGCTTAGGAGAACACTTTGAGTGAGGTGGTCATCTTATCTCCATATACAGTGCATGCTAAGTTGCTTCAGTCGTGTCCAGCTCTTTGCAACCCCATGGACTGTGGCCTGCCAGGCTCTCTGTCCCTGAGATTTCCCAGACTCGAATGTTGGAGTGAGTTGCTATGCCTTCTCCGGTGGATCAAACCCAGGGATCAAACCCATATCTCTTATGTCTCCTGCATTGGCAGGCTGGTTCTTTACCACTAGCGCCACCTGGGAAGCCCCCATATACAGAAGAGGACTTGAAAAAGTTCACCAGCTTACGTGGGCCAGATCTGGAATTAGCCCAGACATTCTAACTTGAGAGCCTGTCCTCTTAACCACTAAGCTATCTCTTTTTTTTTTTAAGTCATATTGTCATTTTAAATTTTGAGAGAGTAGTGACATTTTAAGCTCTTTTTAAAAATTTAAGTTGTGTTCCGTAATTTTCAAATATTTCTTAAGTAACCTTATTATTGAATGGGATTAAAATATAGTGCAAAGGACAACAGGATTAAATGCCAGAGAAGTATAAATACATCATGTCTGCAGTTTAACTTTCCCTGAGTTCCCTAAACAATTTTTAAAAGACAAAGTGCTATGCTTTTTTGTTTTCTTTTTTTTTTTTTTAATAAAAGAGGGTTGGTTGTATTATACATAAATCTGGTTTTAATTTTGGCTGCCTCAGACTTTCCACTATTTAATATTTTAAACACTTACAAATATTATAGTAAACTGTAATCTCCTTAATGAAGTTAAGATTGGAAGATATAGTCAGCTCTCTATTTCCACAAAGTTCTGCATCTATGAATTCAACCAACTGCAGATTGAAAATATTGAAAGAAAAAAAATCTTAGCGTGGTCCAGCAAAAGCAAAACTTAAATTTGCCACGTGTCTAGCAACTGTTTACATGGCATTTATATTATATCAGGTGTG